GATGTACTATTGCTGTGTGATGTATTACTATTACTGAAGGCTACTCTCCACTGAGCTAACATTTTTAGCTGGTGCTACCTGAGGTTAGTTCATTGACTTCAGACTGTTAGACTTGATGGCTAGTATTAACAACCTGCTAGCTGTGCAGTTCTGAAACCAGTCTATAATCTAACCTCAGCTAATGCCAGCTAGCAATGTTAGCTTGGTGGCAAGTAGCCTTCAGTAATAGTAATACAGTGGCTTGCAAAAGTATTTGGCTTCCTTGAACTTTCCCACTTTTTGTCACATTACAGCCACAAACATGAATCAATTTTATTGGAATTCCACGTGAAAGACCAACACAAAGTGGTGCACACGTGAGAAGTGGAACGAAAATCATACATGATTCCAAACATTTTTTTACAAATAAATGACTGCAAAGTGGAGTGTGCGTAATTATTCAGCCCCCTGAGTCAATACTTTGTAGAACCACCTTTTGCTGCAGTTCCAGCTGCCAGACTTTTAGGGTCTGTCTCTACCAGCTTTGCACATCTACAGACTGAAATCCTTGCCCATTCTTCTTTGCAAAACAGCTCCATGTAGTTGTAAAAAGCATCACAAGTAATCAAAAGTATTCAGAATACATTACTCACATTGAGTAACTTAACAGAATACTTTACAAACTACATTTAGTGCATGTATTCTCTTTGCAGTGGAATACATTTTAAAAGTAACATTCCCAACACTGTCAGTGCACTTACCTGTCACCTGGTTTGCTGCTTTGCAACCTGAAATAAAATAGGGAGAGTGAAAATAATAAGCAGCAATCCACGAAATGATTGCAAACAACATGAAAAAGAGTCATCCACGTGCTCAGATATTATGTGATGATGAAAGAGTAATGTAACAAAAGGCTAAATAACAAGAGTAAACTCAAATCTTGTCCTGTAACTACAGTCATCTTCAGCACTCACCTGCTTCAGAGTCTTCCTCATTTGTGGAGGAAAGTTCTGTGAACACACAGTTCAATTTACTAATGTGAAAAGTGATCACTCACTTTAATGTTTCAAGGTAGGCTTCAACAACTAACAAATCAACACATACTTTTGATTTTTTTTGCCAAAGTATAAATTTAGTACTTTATATATTCGTCTTTCTTAATCTGTAATAATAATCTGATACAAACACAACACTTTAAGTAGAACATCAAAATGTGTGTGAGTGTTACCTGTTCCTTTTGGGAGGACATTTTTCTGATAGTATCCTGCATTGGTAATGTTACCAGCTGGGCGGTACTGCCCAACCACAAAGACCGTATTGCCATCAGTGGCTATGCCCACACCCAGCTCAGTGCTGCTTTTCCACACCACCTGAGTAAAATGACCTAGTGGAAAAAGGAAAATGTGTAAAAACATACTACTTACTGATGATGACCTGATCTTG